GGTAGTTCAAACTTCAAGTCGGTCTCCCCGGACAGTCTGTTCCTCTGTCGCTGTAAATCACTAGTAGAATAACACGTGACTATTGTGACTTCTAATCTCAATGTATCTGATAGTTTGTGAGTGTTGTTTTGTTTCTGAATCTTAGAAGGATGTCTGACATAGACTTATGTGGCCTTTGACAGAACTCTATACAATCTTTGACCTAACTCTATACAATCTTTGACCTAACTCTATACAATCTTTGACCTAACTCTATACAATCTTTGACATAACTCTATACAATCTTTGACATAACTCTATAAATCTTTGATGCAATCTTTGACATACAATCTTTGATATACAATCTTTGACATAACACTATACAAACTGTGGTATAACTATACAGTCTTTGACCTAACTCTATACAATCTTTGACACAACTCTCTACAATCGTTGACACAATCCTGTACTACATTTGACAACTTCTTGTGCTGTTGCGACCCAAGTGTATACAATCATCACTTAATCAACTGTATGTGTCACGACGCGGTGGAATCAGGCGCTCGTCAATTTTTGTGTATGTGGAGTTATTGCTATCATCTGAAAGCGTGTTCATTTATCTTGCTCTTGATGAAAAAAAATTAGCCATCCATCTTGAGCAGAAGTGAAGATATTTGTGATTGTAAGAGGTAAGTTCACTAGGTTTCAGCAGTAAAAATAGTGAGAAAATGGCCGCCAAAATTTGGTAACTTCAGTAGCTAAAGAGTCCGTGAAAACTGAACAATTACTTATTTTGAGCCGTTAATCAACGTTTTTTCTATATAATTCTCATAGAAACGTTTTTTCTATATAATTCTCATAGAAACGTTTTTTCTATATAATTCTCATAGAAACGTTTTTTCTATTTAGACATAAAAGGGTTGAACAAACAGCCAAAAGTTTGATGAAAATTGCGAAAGTGGTGGGAAAATGCTTGTTTCTCTAATTTTTTAATTCGACGAGCGCCTGATTTCGCCACGATGTCTCACATATATTATGACCTCTGGAAACCAATCCCTCATACAACTTTTGACGTTGTTGTTGCAGTTGTTGATGATGATGATGTTGTTGTTTCAGTTGTTGATGATGATGTTGCTGTTGTTTCAGTTCCGTGATCAGACGCCAACATGACGGTGGAGTGGACCAATTCCCCCTAGGTCGTCTGTACCCCCGCTGGGTTTGAAGGTACCGTCACTGTGTCGTCATTTTATCGTCACTGTATCGTCACTGTATCGTCACTGTCTCGTGTATCGTCACTGTACTGTGTGGTTTGTCTCGTCATTGTGATGTCAATGAATCAGGAACAATGGACATTATTCTAAAACTGTCTTCTGATACCTTGTCAACGAATCATGAACCATAGACTCTAGAACTGTCTTGTAATATCTCGTCAACGAATCATGAACCATGAACTCTAGAACTGTCTTCTAATATCTTGTCAATGAACCATAGACTCTAGAACTGTCTTGTAATATCTTGTCAATGAATCATGAACCATAGACTCTAGAACTGTCTTGTAATATCTCGTCAACGAATCATGAACCATGAACTCTAGAACTGTCTTCTAATATCTTGTCAATGAACCATAGACTCTAGAACTGTCTTGTAATATCTTGTCAATGAATCATGAACCATAGACTCTAGAACTGTCTTGTAATATCTCGTCAA